TTAGCAGTTGAAGAAGGGGTAGTTAGCAGTTGAAGTTGCATGAAGATTGTTGAAGTCTGAAGAGTTTCTCCATTGACTTCCATGTTAAAAATGTGATGAATTATGGGATGTATCTCTGGAATTATGAAAGTTATGAATGATAAAAGTAATGCTGTGTCAGCATTCCCACTAAAATATGTGTCCCCGGTGTGTCAGGGAACTCACGCAGCGTCAGAAAATAAAACCCTTTCTCTTTTCCTCCGTACCCAAATCTTTTAAAAACGGGGATACAACGAGCGGATACAGATTTGCTGCCGATATGACGTCAAATCGGCGGTGGACCCACAGAAAGTTGCTATCAGAAACTATGCCTGACGTGTTTTGGACGTAATCTCGTCTTTGTTTACATTAGCAAGCCTCGCTAACAATCAGAGCTAACCTGTACTGTAGAGCACATGTGTTTAAAAAGCAAGAAATAAAAAAAGAACTCACCTTGTGATAAACCCGCAAGAGAAAAAGCATTTGAGCTCCATACTGTTTCAGAAATAATCCTTGATGTGGTTTAGAGCAGGATGGCGTTTTATCACAGCAGAATTTAACTTTATCTCCGGTAGAATTCTGATCAGGCATTAGCTCCGCCTCCTCTTAATTATTTTTTCAAGCTAAGGACCCAAAATCTGCGTTTCTCTATCAGGGCTGCAACAGAGGGGTATGAGCAGTATGAGGCATGGCTACAATGGGTGATCTGTTTGGTATTTTAAGCAAAAAACTTCACAGACATGTTTTGTATAGGTATGGCCCTACAATATATTTGTCCAATATAGCATAATAGGTCCACTTTAATTTTAATTTGAAATCAGGTGCTAATGGATATTATTCATAGGGGATAAGGTTGGCAATCTTTTTATTTTTTATTAAAAAAGCTAAATAAGAAGGCATTACCCAATAAATCCCTTTTCTACCACATCAGACATGACAAAACACCAGAACACACTGTAAAGGTGAGATTTAGTGGTATTACTTTTTTTTTGTAAATGTTCCCACAGTAAAACCCCTTTACAGTCCACCCAGAAATAGTCCACTCATGTCTCCTGGAACAGTACATGCCTTGCATAAAGGCACCTCTATGATTATAGTTTCTGGGGAGGCGAGTGTTGTTTGAACCCCTCTCCCAATCATTTTCCTGTCACTCTGTGGGTTTGATGTGCAATGTACCACAGAGGTAAAAGGGCATCCTGACCTGAAACTCTGGTGAAAGCTAAAAAAAGGTCACAAGTGTCATGCTAAGACAAGCACTCCAATATAAAAAAAGAAAAACGAGACAAAAAACAACTTTCTAAGAAGAAAACAAACAACACTCTACCGCTTGACACACACTGTCAGAGAGAAGAGTACATGATTGATCACATGTCATTTATTTTTCACTTATTTTATCCATTCTAGATAGCAGAGTTGAGCTAGACAGCTATAAAATGGAGAAAGTTCACTCTAACCTGAGATGCCAGGCAAGAACAAAAGCCAAAGCGAACACCGTTTAAGGGTTGGAAAAGCACCAGTGGATTCTTGACAGACAGAGCTCACCTGTTCTTAAAAGACAGCAGGCTTCATCGACATTTGTCTGAGGTGCTAAGCAGAATCCCTGGGGGGCTTTGATACTGCCTCACTTTAGTGTGGCGGTTGTCAGACTGATATGGGGAAAAACAGACGGAGAGACAAGGGGGGGGAGCTGTAGAGACAGAAGATGAGGGCAGGGCGGGGGTAAATGAAGGAAGGGCAGGGGATCAAAGAGAAGCAAGAGAGAGAGGGGAGCTTGGACAGAGCAGGTTGAATTTTGATGAAAAGAGAAGAAAGGAGAGAGAATGAATGTATGATATTTAGAAGAAGAAACACTGATGGGAATTTGAACCAGTACAGAACAATTTAAGAGGGCATCTGAGGGTGCAACTCTATCCAAACTTTTAGTAAGGAGTCTTTGGAGTGGCTAATGTTGATTGATATTTTAGTGATACCGTCTTGTTTTGCTCTAAGACCAAATTCTTTCTATAGAATTTGCTGTCTAACTTAATGCTCCCCACTAATGTTTACTTGGTGATTTTTCTGGGAGAATGGGACTAAAGGCATCTTATTTCCTTTCCCCTCCGCTCTAAATGTCAAAGTGAAGATGGTCTAAAAGAGCTCTTAATTTCTGCTTCTATGCCTGGCTCTCTTTACTGCTATCCCTCTCCTCCTTTTTTTGATATGCCAGTGAACTCGCTGGTTCTCTTTGTGTTTTTTATACAGGAGATTGGTATTTCTCAAGTCAGTCACCTTTTAGAACATTTAATAAAGAAGGTGAGATACACAGTCCCCCTTTATGTACTACGGTCAAAATATCAAAACTTTGCAAAGAAATGCTGGAATGTAGTGTATTTGTAATGTATAAGTTGGTTACACATTATTTTTACATTGCATTTGAAGCACTATCCCATAATACATTCTGTGAGATTGACAAATGAAAGTTTATTATTAACCCTCTAAGAGAGAAACATAATCTATGCATTGTAATACGTGTACTCTTTCAAAATACATTGGCTTTGAAGTTTAAAACTCAACAGATTTTAGTCATTTGACATTTAAGCATACATAACTCAGTGTTGAGCTTGTTTTTTTACTTAAAAAACCTCAGATAATTTGTTGATTGATTCTTTTGGATCTCATGTTACTCTTACCATGGTCTACATTTGAATATTTAGCTAACCATGCTTATTAACTTTATTCCCATGGACATAACCAGAACAGACTCCTAAAGCATAATTTAACAGCTTAGATTGATTGTTCTTGTGTACTTATTGCAGTGTGAAAAGAGCTCTAAATGTACCCATGGACAACTATTAACCAAGGGTAAATGCTAATCCTTAAATGAGAATGTAGAAAATGTAAATGGATTTTCAGAATGTGTCTTTTACTACCCCATAATCGTAAAGTACTGTAGTAAATATCTCATTTATCCAGCCATACAACAGCCTTGCAATTACATTCATAATGCACAAACTGTCATAAAGTAATCTGTTTCATTTGTTCTTCTAATCTATTTGGCATTTTTCATGTATAAGTGGCCAGGCAAAGATGTCACAAAAGGGTTAGTCAAGTCATTATTTTTAAACAGAAGAAGTCCTTGATCTTTGACTGTTTTCTTATCCGGTAAAAAATATATTCTAACATTGTAAGCAGTTAAAAAATATGCTCCTTGTTATACTTAAAGTGACTGGACAAGTAGAGTAGGCTCCGAGCAATGGAGCTATAGCTTTATAGATAAGGTCAGTGTTTTTAGTTGTGCTTCTTCAATTGAGTTTTAGTGTTGGCTGGAAGGCAAAGAAAGATGAGGAATGCTGTGACATTGAGTAACTGGGACTCCTGTTGGAAGTTCCTCCTTATATCCGTCCTCCGCTGTACTACATATGTGTTGAAGGTGAAACAAAGAACAAAGACCATGCACCAGAGACATGCTGCTCCAGAGGCCCGTTTACTGCTTAATGGACTGTGTTCTCAAATGGGACAGCTGATTACAACAGTGCCTTTTTTGATCTCCTGCTGCTGTTTGTGTTCATGTGTGTATGAATCCAACCCCACACCACCACAACAGTGCCACAGCTGTGAATAGAGAGTCCCATCAGTTTGGAGGCTTGTAACGAAATCAGGACTTAAAAGGTGACTTACTGTATCATTAGTCATTTTCGGAGAGATTCCCCCCCCTTCTTTCTGACAAACAGCCAGGAGGTCTGCTGTGCTTAACATTAAAAAGCTTTGTTAATTAGAAAGGTGTTTGATATGCAGCTCTCCAACCGAGAGACACACACGCACACGCACACGCACACGCACACGCACCGCGATGATACAAAACACAATATTAAGAATCCTCTAAAATATGAGGAGGATCACACAGCTCACACGGCTGATGGGCTGTAATGAATAATCAAAGCTCTTGACAAAGAAGTCTCCTTTTGAGTTGATAATGATGGTGGATGCAGAATAAGAAGATGGACTTGTTCGTTTTGGCTCCTTTCATCTATGAATGCATTAGTGTTTGTGTCTGCACAAGCAGGCATTTATGTGCTTTTATTTTGTCGGTTTGTGTGCTTTGTTGTCAGTTTCATATCATTATCAAACTAGGGTAGGCAATGTGTTTAAACAATTTGTTTTGTTATATTTGTTCAAAATCTTTTGACATCCAACATAAATACAATAGACATGTTGGTTTTTTACATTCATAGTGATATGTTTACATTCATAGTGATAATTAATGATCATTTTAGAGGATTTTGTGTTGGAGGGAGGCCTGAAGGGACAGGCTGTTGGTGTTGGCAGCTATCTTGCTAGACTTAGCGATTTTCAAAGCTATTAATGTTAGCTTATTTTATTGGAAAACAGTTAGGGTGTGTTTTTTGGTTGGATAATTTAAAAAAATCTATCTTTCTCTTGATGGTTTCTCCAATGTTGCCTTCCCGATCTTTAAAAGAGACTTATTATAGAAATGAGTGTTCATTCAAATGGAGCCCTTATGGTGGAGCAGTTGCTCTCTATCTGACCTTTTGTTGCCCCCGTCTGTTTCTCACCTCTGTAGAAATATATTTTCTGTATTTTAAGCTACTTTGTGTGGGTGATTCACAAAACTTAACCATAGGTGATTTAAAAAAAAGATCGGATTGGATAATAAAGTATATTATCATGGATTGGGATAGAAAACACTCACAAGAATTTCCATTATTAGAATAACCCCCTCATGAGTGACGATTACTGTATAATTGTCACACATGTTCCACATCCATATAAGTTATTGTCTGGACCATGTTTGCACCATATATTTAGCAGCAACATTTTGGGGAAATCATCTACCATCAGTAACGACCGAAGGCGAGAACAGGATCCCCCTGGCTGCCTGTGGAGAGCAGTGCAGACAGACCAATGATCAGGTTTTCACACACTCCTTTTCACATTTCATCTCTTTATTTCTCCCCCCTCCCTATGCTCTACCTCTCCCCCAGGGAGCCCTGCCGTCCGACAAGCCTGCTGCCTGCTGACTGGAGCTCTGGGCTGGGTTTGGGAAGGGAAGATGAGCCATTACCTCCAGGTCTGGAGACCCTTCCTCTCCGACTGATGCAGCAGGACTGCACTTCTGTCAAAACCCTGCTTTTGAGACTGAGACGGACACTGCAGGAGGTGGGATATGAACACGCACACCTGCACACAAGCTTACAGACCCTTTGTAACGTGGCTTTATACTTGGATTAAGACATTGACTGTCACAAAGAAGAAAAATCCCTAGAATAGAAGCTTAAATTCATTATAATCCCTCTTGAACCACATTAAAATACCTCTTTCGATCAATTTATATATGTATTAAATTGTTTTAGAACCAGCAAGGGTGAGGGGTTAGCAAATAATGAGGCAATTGGCATTTCGAACTAAAACATTTCACTGATAAATTCCTTCCTCCCTGTTTTAATACGCTCTATTTCAGCTCCATGAAATCATCTCTAAGTGGATGCTTTTCCGCCTTTGTCCCTGTAATCACTTTGTTTTGTTAAATTAAGCAGATTGGACATTTGGAGGAGAAAACTTAACGGTTTACAGTCTTTGAGTGTTTGTCATCATGTTCTTTATATTCACACACGTAAACACGTGCACACACATATTCTACACATAAATCCTCCTATTTCTTTGGATAATAGTGTCAGCTAAATGCTATGTAATGTAATGTAATTCCAGAGTATCCCTCTGCTCTTTAAATGCTTTGGTCTGCTTATAGCTAAAGTTCTACCTCAGGCTATCAGGCCATCTCATTTACGAATGTCGCGTGAAACCAGGGAAATTACACTTTACCATTATTGATGTGATTAGCTGTAATGGTCACTTAGTAAAGCACTGACACGTTGCAATAGCTGCACAAAGTTTAACTGTAAAAGCCAGGGAGCTATATTGATGGCCCTGTGCAGTCATGCAATCTTTCTACTGTGGGAGTTATTTAAAACAGAATGGAAATGGAAAAGAATAATATTACAGGGTGTTTCTTTTTTTTCATTGTGATTATTTTTGAAGAACATAAACATGTGATTGGCGTTTTATATTTATGGTAATTGCAATTTGCACAGAGCTTGACTTGGGGCACATTGTCAGTCATTATGATGAAACATTCAATCAACTGCTGATTGCAAATTCCATATTTAGTTTGAGTTTGCGCCAGTCCAAAACGCTAATTACACTCATTTGGAAAATGGCTTAGGTATTTTTTAGCTTCAATAGAACTTGTTATACACTTTGTCATTATAAATGTTAGGTACATTAGAAGGATGTTAGTAGTAATACCATATTCTCTGGAAGTTGAGCTGAAAAACAAGCCATTAGTAATGTCTGGATGCTGTTCTCTTGTAAATCTACAAGAGTGACTGACCCTTACCAAATACATCAATGTTATACAGAACCCCATTCAAAAATACATATGCACAAAAAGACATGTAAAAGGGTGCCCAGACTTTCCCTAATACCCCACCATTAGTACCTCGAGGCTAAGATCAAAGCTAGCTGTCAGGGCCTCTCTGAGAATTACCGTCCTCAGAGGCTTATGTACGACTTTCTCCCTTTCTCTTCACTTTTCATCTCTGTGTATTTTTCCTCCCAGAGCCACTGTGAAAGAGACATGGGACATGAAAATGATATGATAATAATTAGTGGAGAGAGACTAGAGTGGTTATGGGGAGAATAAAGCGAGTGCAGGAGAGAGTGAGAGAGGTTACACAGCAGCAGAACATGAATATGAAAGAGGCGACACTTTGCCCTCTTTGCTTGCTCTGTGGTGTCATTAACTTTTTGTTACCCTCCATCAAGAGATGTAATCCATTCTTCAGCGAGGGGAGGGTGAATCGGTATGTCTGTATGCTTTGCATTTTATTTGCTTGACCTTCTGGTATTGAGCCTGTTCTTTTCTTTTGTTAACCTTAACTTATTTTCTCTCATCTTCTCTTCCCTCTAATGGCATTCAACACACTGGTCAACTTGATATGTCACATAATATAGTGCCGTTCCAGTCCAATCATTATTAAAAACAAAACCTGGACGATGCTTTCAAAGAGGCAGAGAATTATCCTAATGACTCATGTAGTGAAAACTAACAATTATGGACCCAGGCGTTCCAAGTCCACTTTTCATCTCATTATCCCAGATTTGATCTATCTGTTATACTCTATATCAGCCACTACTGCAGCATAGACTGTATTATATCACTGTTGAACAACCTTATAATAAAAACAAGAACCTTTGTTTCGGTGTCCCACAAATACAATTACATTGTTTTAAACAATACAATAGAATAACTTGGTAAATGGTTAGGATTGTGCAGCAGTTTTTGCTAACTTCATACATTATCCAGATTTAGGTGATTAGTAGTGCCTCGAGCTAGACTGTCCATCATACTTTTTAATTAATTAAGTGTTGTTGCTAACTGAGACAGAACATGCTTAATTAAGCTTAAAAAAAGTCCAGTTATATTAGCCAGCTTTATGAACAAGGAAGTCTAATATAATTCAACAGTTGTGAGCAGAAGGATCTGGTAGCAGTAAATAAAATGATAACAAATCATAAAATAACATACCAGTTTCTTAGTTGCTTTCAAAAAGTTATAACAAGGACAACATCCATTATCAAAAGTTAGAGATGGACTGAGGAACTTTTTAAATCTCTCTATTTCCTGTTCTGTCATCTCTCTCTACTTACTGTATTTGCTCCATATTAGTCAGATTAGCATATTTAAAACAGCTGTACAGACTCAAGGTTCAAGGTTCTTTATTGTCAAACTAACATAGCTACAGAGTAATTATGTCGTTGAAAATCTTATGTCACAGGCTTCTCCAACAATGCAACATAATAATACAGATAGTAAAAGTAATACAAATCAATCCATCCTTAAGTTGTTTCCCTCTCAGCAGTTCATGCTGTCGGCTGCACAGAGATACATATCTAATATGCCACTGTCCATGTGCCTTTATGTTGCCCTACACAATGATCCCTATTTGTCAATGTCAGCCATGGATTCTAGAAAAACAGTGACATCCTATCTGTTATTGCATGTTCTTGCTGTCTTTGTGGGCAATTGGTATGAGGTTTTTTGCAATATCAATAATATTGCACATGCACTGCCAGGCCTTGTTAGCCTTTGTCCCTGCAGCCCCTCGACCCGTCCCAGTGACCCTAACCCCCAGGCAGCTGCTCGCCTTGTGGCAGCAGCTTATTGTTGCTGCCTCCACCAAATCTTATAGAGATAGCTGTCTGTATGATAAAGTGCATTTGAAAAATCTATTGTTTATTTCATATAAAGCAGTTGCATTCATCTCTGAAGCCATTGTGAGACCAGCTTTATGAAAAAGGAAAAAGCTAAGTTATTAATAACAACAAGTAAAAGTAAGTTAGCAATGCAGGTGCTGATATTTCAAATGTAAAACACTCACTCTGTTTTTCAAAGAACCCAATACATCGAATTGCTGTTTGTTGTTAAAAATGCTGCCTTCAGACAAAAAGGCCAAATGTCAATGAAAGAGACTGGGAATAATTGGAGTTTTTTTTGTTAGATTTTCATTTTGTGATTCAACTGATGTGTGAATGTGATTAAAGGGGTGTATCAAGCTAAAAAAAACCTGCTTTCCTTTCGAGGGCCATTCATCATCTTTAGACATTTAACTTCTAGGTAGTGCAAGTCATTAAATCCAGAGCTCCCAGGCAGCTTTCCTCATTCTCTAATCTGAAAGGATTTTTACTGAACCACATCTAATTGTGAGGACAGTTGTGTGTTACGGCCTGTGAGACAGAGGTGACCTTAAAGAGAATGTGTGTGTGTGTGTTATAGAGAGAGAGGGAGAGACAGAGAGTGTTAGGGTGTCAGTGAGTGTGCGCCTGTCTCTCCACATGGGGAAAGGCATTGATCACCGATGACACATTGAGGGCCTGCCGCCATAGCGCACCTATAATTCTGATAGGGAGGTATGCTTCTTTAAAAGGTCAGCCAAACCAATAAACCATCAAGTTTATGCTGTGCAAAGATTTGGTCCCTGGAGTTTTTCAGAGCTACCTTCAAAACCTGAAACTAGGCCAAAAACATACACAAACAAAAAGGTTTTAGCCAAAGCCGCATCTTTTGTTGAGGGGTTGGTTTGCATATAAATCTGCAAGAAGGATTACCTTTTCTGAAGTGTGGAGGCTGAACACGTTTTAGGCTCATTCTTAACTTGACCTTTTCTCGTTCCTTGTCACGTCTTTGTCATGTGACCTCTCGTATCCTTCCTGTGAGTGCTGTCATGTCATCACCATGCTGCATTACATCAATATCAGCAGTCCTGCCTGAAGACATGACGTTATCTTCTCCAGCGTTACCATCTGTCCTATCATAAGCCCCCACAGGTGACATTTAGACCACCGTCTGCTCTCTTTAAGGACTGTGTGTGTCTGCGTACACGTGACAGCTTGTGCACCCTTTGTGTGCAGTGTCTATGTGTGTGTATGTTTGAACCCCCTCTAGCTGCCCCTGCCCTCTGCCCACTAGACACCTGTGTGGAGAAGCAGAGCCAAAATGAGTCTGATCGCAGCTGGCGTTAAAAAACATGGATTATTTAGAAACTTGGTGAGAAAAGTCACAAGAGGGATGGATAGGACCAATTGTCTTACATGTTCAGGAACAAAAGGTGCTTCAAAGATTAAGGGACAAGATGTATTATTGCCCTGCAGATATTCTGTTGAAAATGACTTCTTCACTGAGGTTTGAGGATGCTGCAGCTCCAATGAGCACCTATCTTGATATAACTGGTCTATCTTACCTCTCTCTTGCTTCTTATTGAATGAGAAGCCAGACTTAATTGTGTAATGTTTTTGTCAATATGTCTTATCACCACATTTAGTTGGAGGTATTGAAAGTGAAAATACTTGCACATTCCTTTATCTTGTTAAAAACAGAGGAGTATTAACTGTGACTGTTTATTCTATGCAGATCACTATTTGACCAGCAGCACTTACAATGTATCTTAAAGACCTCATCTTGATGTCATTTATGTTTTTGTCTTTTTCAGAGCACTGAGACAAGTCCTGCAAGCAGCCTCCAGTCTCTACCCATAAGCCCTTGCAGTGAAAAGTCCCTTCCATTTAAGGTAACATAAAGCAGACCATTGTATGTTGCTTTAGGCATTTCAACAATACTGAATTTAAGATAAAAAGGAGAGAGATTTACTGTCTGGCTTGAGCTGACTGTTTTCCAATAATCATTGGAATCTGTTAACAAGTTTGAGTTTAAGCAACATCTGCACTTAACCTAATGTATGAGAACACTTAAATAAACTATTAACGCCAGCAGATATACAGATTAAGCCTAAGTTTTGCTCCAAATTGGTGGTCCCAAACCAATTCGTTGTAATTACTACTACAGAACACACACCATATTATAGTCTTCTTTCACGTATCCACATCTGCTTGTGAATTGTCAGCATAACACTTAAGATTGATAAAGTGTCTAATACGTTTCTGCCCAGTTTAATATTTTACAAAAACATACCTTTTTTTACACAACATACAGCAGTTTTGTGGAGCTCTGTAGATGTGTATTTCGATGGCCAAAAATGAAACTACACACATTTACTCAAACACTGATCAAATACATAGAGCCTGTTAGTTTCATTAAAAGAACACAGCAGTCGGTCTGTGATCAAAAATAGGAACAGAATCCTCTTTTGATCCATGTGTCTCCTCCAGTTTTCCCATCATCAGAACAATTAACAGCCTTTTTTTCCACGTTGGCTTATAATGAATCACAAGGAGTTCAAATAGGAAGAAATAGGAGCACGACAGGGAGGGAGAAGAAGAAAAATAAAGAAGCGAAAAGCAATAAGAGAGGTGAGGATACATGGTATGAGAAAGGGGCGAAGTGCTTTGCTTGACAGGCCCAAGACCCCCCTCTGTCAACCTAGTCCATCAGCAATGTGTGATAAGATGTATTAATGCAGGGTGTGTGTGTGTCTGTGTCTCTGTGTGTGCGTGTGTGCAAGATTTAGGTTTACCAAGGGAGAGCTTTTGTCAAGCTTTTCTCTGGGATTTAGTTGGATGGCAGCATAGCTCTTGTTAGACCGGAGAGAGAAGCAGTAGGGGCGAACCTTTTCAACTCTGTGCTGCTTTTTCAACCCCCCCTTCTTTCACATACGGGATGTACAGAATAGTAACATCTCTATAAAATGTAGTGCAGTATAATGCGACCACAAGGTAAGGCCTTAGTCCCTTACACAGTGCCAATGTAGTCGTGTTTGTGTGTGTGAGAGAGGGTGGATGCTTGTGTGAGTACATGCCCTCTTTATTGACCTACATGGAGTATCAGTGGCAGCGCGAGGATAAGAAAACATTTCAAAATCTAGGGTGTTACCCAGCATGAAGAAAGCTGCCCTGGCTCAAACTTCCAGGGTCTTTGCTCTGTTTCTCCATCTTCACGCATGGAAACATAGGAACGTTTAAATAGAAAAGTTAGAAACATATTTGGGCAAATGTCTTTTACATTTCTATGAAACAGTCCAAACCTCTATTATAAAGACTGGACATGAAACCAATAAGTAATTGCAATATTCCAGCTATAAAAATTGATTAACTCATATGTAGCTTGTATGCAGAAAATGTTTTAACATAATACACAATATTGAAACTTGATTAGGGAGAAAGAAACTTGTTTTTATTTTGATTATTTTTTTAAGATCCTAAAAAATATCCTTAAAGGTGGGGTATGTAATTTTGGAGAAACTAGAATTTGAAAAGTACACAACCGGAAAAAATCTGCCCCTTCCTTCAGACTTCCTTATAGAGCCCCTCCTCCAACACACACGAACGCGCACATGACCAATGAGGGCACGAGATAAGTTTGTGCACAGATGGAAGGCTGACAGGCAGGTAGGCCATCCAGTTATTTTAGCCGGGCCGGCTCAGATGATTGGTCGTGCTTTTTACAGTATTACGGCTTCCACAGATGACATTTTTTTAATGTATTTATTGTCAAAGCATTTAATATATTCATTGCTATCGGGATGTTAAGAGCATTCCATGGAATATAACAAAAAGTGTTTCTGAAATAAATTACATACCCCACCTTTAAGATCCGATTTTAAGAACAGGTTTGATTGATTGGAAAATGGATTGTGGTTTTTCCAAATTGAGAGAAGGAGGGTCAGTGGCATCAAAAACAACAGCCAAAGGACAAAAGGTTAGGTAGGAGACTTTAAGAGGTAGCAGAAGTGTGATCGGTATTTATAGCAGAGAATGAGTAAGCAGGTGGGAGGCAAAGGCTAACCTCTGGAGGTGGCCTATTGCATGAGGGAAATACGGAGAAACAGTTGCAATGCTGATCATTTTACATTGTTTTACTTGATTGTAAGATAGGCTCAGGAGCAAGGGGCTAAGGGAAAAATGTGAATGCTAAAATTCAAGTTCTTACTAACGGAATGCATTTAGTTTGAAGATATTAAGTTGGATACATTTGTATAAAGGAAACATTTATATAGGAGTGCAAGAGATGGAAGTGAGAGAGAGAGGAAGAGTTTGAGGAGGAGCATGAAAGAGAAAGAGGGATGGGAGGGAAAGAAGAAAAAGAAGGTTTGAGGGAGGGGCGAGAAGCAGAGACGTTATCCTGGCGCTCAAGAAAACGACTCCGTGGGTGTAAAAATAATCTGGAGTAGCCACCTGAGAGACTGCAGTATCACAGTGCAACCCAGTTTAATTTAGACTCAACGCATATGACATGATTTCAAACAGATTTTGTCCCAGTTTAAGTGTTCTACTGTATTTTAAAAGACTGAGGTAAAAATGATGAATAGAGTTGTTACAAGAGGTTTATTCAGACCACCTGAGTTTAAAAAACAGCAACTAGGATAGCAACTTTTGTAGCTAATTAAGTAACATGTGTGTATGTTCACCTTGTGATAGCAGACATGAGGAACTTCTTTTTATAGTCAGACATGTATCATTGTGTCAAATGCTGCATAATTAGAAATGAATAATGTATAATTGTAATGACTGCCTATTTATAATTACAGGCTGTTCCCCACACCTAGGTCAGTGAGGGCGCTAAAAAGACTGTGCACAAAACCATGTAAAGATACAAGTCTCATGGGCGCATAAACTATACACGAAACAAACTCATGCAACAGACAATAATAAACACATACCCCTAAAGATCCCACTCCTTTGTGAGATCCGTTTGCATCAACTTCATAAACGTTGTCCAATTCTGTCTGCAACAAAATATTTATCCATGCCTTGTTGGCAAACATTTTGTGTAAAAAACAATGTAAGTGTGTCACGCTGCAACATAGTGTTTTATTTTTATATATCATTCCATTACTCACCAGTATTCCTTTGAAATGAATGCAGTTCTGTTATATAATGCATTTCTGTAGAGCCTTAATGGACAGCATAGGATGTATAATCAGTAACTAAAGGGCACACACATAATGTTATATTCATGAATAAAATAGAGACACAGCATATACAGTACATACTGTTCAGTATGTATTTGTGTTTTATAAAAAAGCTTCAACAAAATATAGTTCTTCTGTGTGGGAAGCACATTATAGACATCACATTTTACCAAGGGAGGGGATATTTTGTGTGGCTCATGCATCTATGAACTATATTTAATTACATTATAGAACAAGTTGGAGAGCAAAACAGCCGGCCAGTCTCATCTGTGTCTCTCTCATTCCTGGTAACCTCTCCACAAACACAAGTTTCTGCCCGTTGTCTGGGCCTCACACTCAAAGCTAGCATGGCCAGTTTTCTCACACAGAGAGAAAATTCTTGGGAGTTTCCGTCCTGAATTACTTATTTTCTGCTAAATATCTTTTCCTCCATAAAACTGTTTTGATATGAATTATGTAATGTTTAAATAAGGATTTTAGATCTCAAAAGGATCATTACGCCCACATCCTAAAAGGTAATGTCCTATAATGTATTCTAATACATTAGACCACTCTTTTTCTGGGACAAGTTATACTTTTGTGGCTGTTGTTTAAAAGGGAAGATTAAATCGTACTACCAGACCTACCTCATGCTAACACTAAACAGCTGTGTCATCTCAATGAAAAAAACATTTTCTGAAGGAACCATCCATGACACCTGCTGATAAGAGGAAGGCAGAGATCTGGAGTGAGCAGTAACTAAAGAAAAAGATTCAAGAGACTGAAGCATCAGCTAGAGTAAAACATATTGACACCAAAATGTCCTTACAACAATAATAACGATTCCAGAAGGCAAATGTTTCCTGCCAAGCATCTTAAAAGGTGCCTTTTAAGTTTCAAAGAGTCTTAATGAAATCAGAACACATAGACAATTATTCATAGTCAAAATACTCAAGAATTATATCTGGAGTCTGACTGGATGTTTGATCTAAGCAGTAGTTAAAGTCTGTCTAGTCTGGTCCGCTAATATTTCATGTTTTATATTACCTTTGATTTGTCTGTGGGTTCCTGTCTCAGCAACATGAAATACAGTACAGTATTTCACTGCATTTGATTAGCCTAATTTTTACAACCTCCTATGCTATATTTAATATGTCTCAGTGATAGTTCCAGCTCTGGGGGTATTGCTGTTTTTTAAGGACGTCTAGGCAGGTGACAAATCTCTCTTATATTTCAAACAACATAAATATTACAGGAGTGGTGTGACAGGTTTCCTAACTCTCTGTGCGTGGTGTCAGCTTTACTGCCTGTTGAGGTGCTTCAGACAGCTGGAGTACCTATAGCATCACACGAGTGCTCCTGCTCGTCACACACAACATGTCTTTTGGTTTATACAGGACAGTTACAGCATAACAGCTTGTCCTGTACACATGTGTCCAGAAATACTCAAAGCTCCTGAATCACAGTATATTTGAAGAGATGGTGGCCCTGTCTTTATAGTCTACTGACAACAGAAGCAATTCATATAGACAGGTGTAAAAGGTCACTCTTTTAATTGTAAATTCTTAAAGGGATGATATTGTATCTGTTTATCAGCTGATTAATTTTTCATCAGCTCCTCTCTCTCTTTTTATTTGCACTCAAGCTACGTGTCTTGCCTTCTTCTATCAGTGTGAATAAATAGTGTGCTGATAAAGTCATAATTAAAGTCAGTCAGACTGATAATTGATAAACACAGAAGGCAAGAAGAGAGAAAGCAACATGGAGAAATATTTTTCAAACCAGAGTGGGGCTACTTGATGCCTGGGAGCCTTGTAAATGTTTTGTCTTGTATTCGTTTGCTTATGTGTTTTGTTTTTTTTGCTCCATTTTTATACAATACATTACTAGCCATCCTGTGTTAGTACACAATATTTTAGTTTTGTGTTGTTATTAGTTGCTGATAGGAACCGCTTCCCTTTGGGGTTACGATATGTGGATACACTGTAGCTAAGACCTTTAATTGAAAGTCTAAAGCTAATCTTCAACTTACAAAAACTCACCTCTTCAATCTGGCTTTTAATGTGTGATTGTTGTTGTATTGATTGATTTTAATGTGACTTTAACTATATTTATTTGTTGTTCACTATCTCTGTAAAGCGACTTTGAGCACCTGTGAAAGCGCTTACAAAATAAATCTATTATTATTATTATTAGTATTATTATTATAATATTGTCAGGCATAGGTTAACATAGTGTTGAAAAATGATTGCATGTTAAACACCTCCACCTCCTTGTCATCCTGTTGGAGTCTTTGAGCAGGTACTGGCAGGGCTGAATAGGTTCTGCTGGTAGCCCAATATATAGTGTCACTAATGGTGGAGATGATTATATGGCTTTACCTTCCTTTCTGATCTTCCAAATCTCAGTCGGTATAAAGACAACAGCGAGAATGCATTTGATCCTGCTGTTATTTCTTAAACCTCTTTCCCTATTTTTCTTAAATGGCCAATTTGTTTAACAAATTGAAGGAAGACAGTGTTGAAATGATATATAAACAACCATCACTTTTTTGTGTCTTCCTCAGTTTTTTTAAACTAATTGAATAATTTCTGCTAACAAGGGAAATGCAATTCATATCCATACCCTCTTCAATTTGCTGCTGATTGCAAACATAAAGTGGCCTCAACCTCTGTACAGAATCCCATAAAGTGGATGCAGTCCAATGGTTTTGATCAGATTTATCCCCACTGAGGCCATTCCAATCACATTAGAAATACATTGGCGTGCTCTACAGCCTTTTCCATTCAATTCAGCCATACAAATTGGTTTGAATTATACCTGATGGGTGACTAAATGCACAATGTGGGGCTTCTTTCAGCAAGCAGAACAACATTTTCTCATTTTAGTTTTAGGTTTGCTAATGTCTTCTCATATTTGAATGATTTCTGTAGGATATTACATGGTAAGGCTGTTCAGTTGTAGGTATTGACTAACAACAAAGTAAGTAACATTTTCATTAAATGTATGTCATCACACGTCTAGCTGAGGTTCATTACCTCTCTCTGTCTTATCCCTCTCTTTTCCTCCCACTGCTTAAACCGATCGCCAGTTCTTTATTTCTGTTTATACTCTTGAGGTCATGTCTGACACGTAAACAAATTACACAAGTCAGCATGGATTTAGATATACTCATGGACATTCAAAACATAACTACTGAATCACACGCACACACGCACTCACACCCACACACAGTATATAGGCAAACACACTGTGCTGTTCTAGACAGACAGTTCATTTGGAACCGCCTTCAGTTCCTTTTGGCTGAGGTTAATTGAAGAGGGCAACTAATGTAGTAATTGTCACAGCATGTAAATGTTTTTTCAGTCCCATCAGCATCTCATATTAGTATGTTTATGCTGTCCTAGCATTTAGAAAACATATCCTTATTATCTCTAACACCTGGCACCTATTCTCTGAAGCCATGTAAACAGAGGCCACTTTGATTCAAAACTGTTTTGTTTTTCTTAATTGTTTTTCAATATCCTAGTGGGAAATGTTGCCTTTAATAGGTTTTATCACCTTAGAAGCACTTAGCAAAATGTTTACTTTGTCCTCCTTGACCATTATCTTGTGATTTTGTAAAGCCCACACACATACCTCAACATCAATTAGACCTGTTTAATCAGGAAGTCAGAAAACAAAACCCATCAAAACTTTCTGAGACAATTTCGTAGTGTACGTCAACACCAACAAACCCTAGCAAACACTGTCCCTACTGACCTGCAGTATTACCAACCTTTCATCTCATAATACGCATGTGTTGATTTGAGCAAAACCTTCAATTAATGAATTATGTTTCTATCTGTTAAGCCATCGATCCATTCATTCTACTTATCTGGATCCATGCATTTTTAATTTAGGATTTATAATTATTTAAATCATTACAAATCATTTTTACACACTGCATTAAAAAACAACTTTGGTCAACTCAAAATGTCACTACAGCATTTTCCGTTTCCATTTACACTGTTGCCTTCAGAGGAGGTTGTACGACATATTTACATGCATATCCCATTTTAACCATCAAGTCAAACCCACTGGAATATAAAAGAAAGCATTACTTTTAACTATCGAACATTAACAGATGCTCTTTATGTTGCATGATAAGACACTGGTGTTTTACTTTGAAGACATTATAAAGCACTCATCCCTTGAGGACAATTGACTGACACTAAATGAGTCTCTCTCACCACTCAACAAGTGTTTTGATCATCCAGCCATTATAATCATTTGATGTGCTTATTTTTGAAGTTATTTTTTACATTTATAAAAATGGAATTGACTTCGGCAGAAGGCTAGCTCTGTGTGTGCATCATGAGGTCATTTAGAGGACGTCGTAGTAGCTCTATGGTTCCCTGTGGTCTCCCTCTGACTCTGTGTCTGTCCTTTAGCTCGATGGCTCCCCACGGTCTCTGACCATCATGCTCAGCCCCAGGCCCTCTCTGTCCTCTCCTTCTCTCCCTAACTGTCCCCCTTTCCTCCCGTTTCCCCCTCATTTTCCTCCTGTTATCTTGCCCCTCTTTATGTCTCCTGCCTTTATGTCCTTGAAGAGGTAATGGCCGTCTGTCCTTTCGCTCTTTCCATTTTATTGCTCCTTCTCTCACACTCTATTCTTTTCCTTTCCTCTTATTTTCCTTGTTCCCTCTGTCCTTCTCTGTTTCACTCTGTGTACAACTTATCTGCCTCACAATATTCAAATTGAGTTAATATTTTAATCAAAATGCTAGGTCTGGAAAACAGCTAAATGTTTTATTCTCAACCTCCCCACGAGTCAGTGTGTAGCCTGAGATGCTCTGGCAGCTCTCTCTTGGCTGTTTTCACTTTATCAACTTTGAAACACAAGTCATGTCAAATAGATGTGCCTGGGGAACTTCATTTGTGCATTTGAAAAATGAAACAAACAACTCGAATAACAATTGCAGCACAATTATATTTCAAATATGATTATTGAGCCAGTGCTCATTTATATGAAAGCATTATAAAAGAATATCCATGCACATTAACAGATCAAATGGAAATGAAATGAAAGATAAAGGATTGTGTTTTGCAACTGCAACACAATCAAAATAAGTACATTAAATAAAAAGAGGAAATGTTTTACAATTAAACAATTATGAAGATAATATGAATGTGTATACACTGGAAAAAAAAGGGACATACATAAATCTAGATCTAATAATTAAAATCATGCAGTCTGTGAACATTGATCTCTACATTTACCTCCGTCCTTACCTGTCTCCTGTCCTTTACTCTTCTCACACACATTAACTCATTCAACAAAGTGAAACAGTTTATAGACGGTATTTGCTACACCTTAGGATCTTCTATAGGCCTGGTGATAGGAAATGCCAAGTCTTATTATATTGTGGGAGTGTGTCCTTTCAGACATATCTTATCCTTTCAACATATAGCACAATTATAGTCATAAACGTCAAACTCATTTTATAATTTTACTTTCATAATGACATTTATTTATAATTATGTATTTTCTTGATGTTTTGTAGCTGTGGTTTTGAAAGGTGCCATACTAATAAAGTTGATTAGTTATATTATTCCCCTCTTCTCCTGTCTCCTGTCCTGTTGCTCTCCATCGTCCCCAAAGCAATGTCCCCTGACATCCCAAGGTCACACTGAAGTGCTGTGTGCTCTGGGGTGCCGCCATAGGACACACCAAGTTTATCGCAGACACGTAGAGAGAAGAGGAGATCACAATGCTGCATGCGTGACAACTTTATGACACCTAGCCACGCACTAGCAAGAACAGCAACAAACACGCTCATAAATGCACATAAAACACTTGCAAAACCAACGTTAACTTTTATGGGGACAGCCAGAGAAACGCACACACACACAGGCACAAACACATTTTGTATGTTGTCATCCTCTTAGGCTCTATGTATTGCTTTTGCGGGAATATGGACCCTAAGATAAATCACTGCTGTCTGCAGTGTCCTAAGTAATATGTAACATGGTGTCTTGTTGCTTGTGTTTAGGATCCCAGCAGAGAAGGGGCCTTGCTGCAACAACTGAGAGAGAAAGATGAACTGATCCTCAGACTCCACAGTGAACTGGTAAGATCCACTATCCAGCAAATACACAATATAATAATAACAGGCAAGTTTGTGTTCAGTTCATTGCGCGAAAGCAAAACCAACCATTATCAGTATTTTTCGTGAAGTTACAAGGTGAGACAATACCAACATATTAAGGACAAAACAACACAACATAATAAAACCCACAAAACAAAAATAGACTAGGAAGAGACAAAAAACAAACAGCAGCAGTAACAACCTAGTGCAGTACTATATTATGTTACCACATTTTTGGAGTTCTATTAAGGTTTGAAAAGTTATTTAAGTTTTAAATGCATCATTAGTATTTAGTTAATAGTTCTCCCGATTAGTTAAATGACTTTTACCAAATGCAGAAGAAGGGACTGCTCCATTTTTTCTGTAAAAACATGGTTTAACATGCCAGCCAGAAGATGGTTCTGAAGATGTGTATAAAGCCTGTGCACTAAAGAGGCATTACAACACAAATCCAATGGAGTAAAATGACTTTCCAAAATAATGTTAAATCTTTTTCACATCATTTTAAGACGAGCAACTCATAGTCTCAAATATTGAGGAATGGAGGGTTTACATTTAATTCAAACTGTCACAGTTTATTTCTCTTGGTGCCTTTCAAACTTTAAAATGAATAATTAAAACAGCTTGAATGTTTTTGAATGATTTGTTATAGGGTATAAATTAAAAACGAATTGCCTTTGAACCACAATATTTCATTCCCTTTTAAGCAAAAACAAATCCTTCTTTTTTTGGAAAGGTTAAACAACATTTCAAAGAACTGGAAATGTTGACTTTAGTTAAAGAATTTGACAAACCCTTTGTCAGTTTTCCTTTTGATATTCTGCTGTGTGAGAGTACATACAGCAGAGGGCGGAGTGACAGGAAGGAGAGAGAAAATGAATCTGTGAATAGTTCTTTAGTTGGCTCAAACACTGTCTGGCGTGCCACCAGAAGGCCCATCTTTTCCATCTTTGTTAATGTAAACTGCTTGTTCCCACCAAGCTTAATGTAATAGCAGAATTATAATTGGGACTCACGTCCAGCAGAGAGAGAAGAATAATGTTTCAAACTATTACCCCTGTAGGCATGGATGGGAAACATGGATCATTTCCATATCTAATTATTTGTAAAAAAACAATATGCTTGTGAAATATAGGGATTTAAATGCTTAATATATTGCGCTGTCTGTGTTTCTTTTCACTCTTTTGTCATCCCCTTGTTGGATCATCTGCAAATATTGTCCATACGGCAAACGTTTTTCATCATTTGTCATCTACACAATTTGTCAGCTGTTCTGCCAAAGCAATGTAATGCAGACATTATGCTAGGCCTTTGCAAGATAATGTGCCAGTGCTATGGAGCTATTGCAAGAGATGCCAGTCCAACAGACTGACTTAAGTCTCATTTGGCATTTGTGTGTTTAATGACTTTCTCTTGCTCGCATCACATAGTTTAGCCCTTAAACTAAACTCCTCACTATAGGCTGTATTCAGCATTGTTCACGTAATGAGGAGTTTATACCAACATCCAGCACATTTTTATTCAGACCTCAGACACACCTGTTGACTAAAACGGTCACCCAGACAGCTAGAGGCATAGGTAGTTTCCCCAGAAGACATTTTTGTCTTTTGTAACTCCACTTTTCAGACCTTTAGTTTTTCTCTTGTTAAATACTCACTCCAGAAATGAGATTTATTTTATATATTGATACTGTTAAACAGTTCATGTTACAATCTATTTAAAATGAATGTCTACAGGCAATGGAACATACTGTAAACTCACACTAAAACACCTATACCACATAGAATAGAAGAATAGGGAGGGATGAAACCCTCTTTAATGGTCACACATGCAGAGCACACAGCACACACAGTGAAATTTGGCCTCTGCTTTTAACCCATCCTAGTACAAGGAGTCTAGTACTAGGAGCAGTGGGCAGCTATTGTACAGCGCCCGGGGAGCAATGGGAGTGGGGGGGAAGGGGGGTGTCCGGTGCCTTGCTCAAGGGCACCACGGCAGGGCAGGAGGTGAACTGGGACCTCTCCAAGTAGAAGTCCACACTCCATATTTAGGTCTGGTCGGGGACTTGAACCAGCGACCCTACGGCTCCCAGTCCAAGCCCCTACTGACTGAGCCACTGCCGGACATCAGCCTATATTGATCTGTAATACATTTTACATTCAATTACAATTCCAGATACTTTGGGATTCCCAGCTCCAAGCCTTTTCAATCCTGCTGAAGATGCACATTTTTTTAAAATACATATAGTTTAATTCGAAACAAGGATGACTTGTTTCCTAAAACAGCAAGGCACTGTTTTTTTTTAGCAAGCATTACTAAAATAGTATACATTGCATTTGTAATAGGGACAACTTTTCATGGTAAGGAAGAGGCAATGCAGCAGTGTGGCTCAATGATGTGTTTTTAATGTCTTTTGGAAAACATTAGGAGTCTAAGACACAGAAATACTTGTTAGTGCAATCCAATCATTGTTTAGGACTTGATTATAACATAAATACATAATTTTACATGCCTTATCCACTAAGTATCCTCATTTTGATGCAGTTTTCTATTGATTTTCTCTCCACTTCTCCCCCCTCCACATTAACACAAAGATCCATCAATCACTCTTTTGGCAACACAATGCTTGTGCATGCACAAACAAAAACGGATGGTAATCAGCCTTGAATGTGTGTGTGAGTGTGTTCATCTGTTTGGCACTCTGTCAGAGATGTTCTGGCTGGATTTGATTTCCAAACATGTACTGCTTTCATGTTTTTACGAGCAAAAGTGTGCCTATATCTATTTGTGTATATATTGATCAATTGTCTAATGCAAGACTGTATCCTTACTGCTAACCTTATGTTTAACTGCTCTGTATGTCCTTGGTACAAAAGTCATTCTGACAAGGCTTTAAATGTAGGACCGTGATGTCCTTGTGCATACTTGTGAGGGTGTATATGTGAGAGAAGGAATACGTTGCCTGGCGCAGAGAAGTTAAAGTGCAGCATTTAGAAGGAAAGGGCAGCCCATAGCCAGCGCTCTCCTCGCTCTGCCTCCGTCTGTAAATCTGCCAGTGAAAACCTATTAATTATCTCCTAGAAGGACCTGCTGGCTGGCCATCACTAGCTGTCACTTTTTATGAGTTCTCTCCTCTCTCTGCTGGTGCATTTTGTTGAAGGACCGTGCTCCAACTGCAACATTTAGCTATGAAAAGCCTCCTTTGCTTTTCACGTGGGCATGGGCATGACTAATGAAAACAGATTTGAACCGCAATCTGTCAACTCGCTTCTGATTTAAACACGACCATACGTTTTGAGTTTAGAGATATATAAATGAACTTTCTTACTATTAACCCTCCTTTTCACCTTGTCCAAATTTGAGTGGTTCCTTTTAATCAAGGTGAACGCATTTCTCAACATTTGATAATCCCTTTCAACTTTTTTTGTTTCCTGTCCCATGAGCAGCGTGAAGCGAGCATGTCAGAATGATAAGTTACATTGTCATAAAATGCTCCTGGTGGAAATAGTGTTGGGTTCTTTTCATTCAGGGGACTCGCAACCCGCTTTTTCAAAATAATCACACAGAGGTAGCAGACAAGTCTGAAGGTTTCTAGTCAAGGTAACAGTGCTGTATTTTAAAGGACAGGGCAAACACTTTTCTCTCTACACCTCCCACTGTAAATCTGCCAGAGGAAACCTATTAATTATCTCCCTAGAAGGACCTTTCCAGCAGTCTGGCCAATACTAGCTGTCAGATTTTATGAATTTTTCTCAACTGGTGCACTTTGAGAAGAGTCCCTGCTCCAATTTCTGGCTGTAAAAAAGTTCTCCTGCAATTCAGCCCAGTTTTATGTCCACTTGGATTTCCAGGAGAGGTGGCAGAGTGGAGAGCAGGGTTCGGCTTTGTTGAGGTTCATAGGGTTGCAGTTTTATTCTTTCATTTTGATAGCTAGTTTTGCATGCAAACCAAGTGGTGTGAGTGTAGGCATACATCTGCTGGGAGAGCATTTAGTTGTTCTGATTTATTCTTGTGTGATGATCTACTTTCTTTGATGGGTGTGTGTTTGTTTTGTACCCAGGAGAGTGCCAAAGCTGCCCTGAAGATGAAAGACTGCCAAATGACTGACCACGCAACACAGACGGAACACATGGGGCCAGAGGTGAGAAACGCACAGACCCCACACGCTCCCTCCTTTTGGCTCCGTCAGACTCAAACACACAAAGAAGGCTCTCTGCACCACATGCCGTACACTGGAATTGTGCTTTGTGTGAGATCGTCTGCATCCATAAGATTACAATCACTAAATGAAGCTCAATTCTAACAAAAGCCTCCTTGCAAGCTCCTTCCTTCTCTATCCTCTTACTTTGTTATCCTATATGTTTCAATGTACTTTATGCAGAGCCAAAGCTGCCCCTCCCTACCCTTCTTTCCTTCTTTTCTCTTTAAAAGCATCTTCTCACATTGAGCTAAAGCTTTAATCTATTTTACTCATTCTAAGGATGTTGTACTGCAGTGACATTCATATAATAGTCCACTACCTGCTCCTCCCCGCCTTCCTCTAAGTCCCACAGTGCTGAGGGAGGGTGTTGTTCTGCTTTCAACAAGCCCTCAGTTGACATGGCCTCTCTGGCTTCACTAGGGGCTGACAGTATGGGAACGCAGCAGATTTAATGGATGATTGCCTAAAAATGGCCGCCTGTAACGGAAACAGGAGCTGAGCTTTGCCTCTGTTTCTCTGTTTCTCTGTTTCTCTGTTTCTCTGTTTCTCTGTTTCTCTGTTTCTCTGTTTCTCTGTTTCTCTGTTTCTCTGTTTCTCTGTTCCTCTGTTCCTCGTTCCTTTCTTTTAATACACTTTTTTCATCTTCCCTTAAAGTTCATTTTATGGCTTTAGTCCTGCTGAGTATAAAGTTGGCAAGAACCGTTGTAAAAGTGGAAATGCTATATCATTGTCTGAGCTTGGTGCACACAACCCACACTGACTTACACATCGCATGCACACGGATAATGTTTAATGTCAAATAAAAAATGAATGCACGAATCATAAAAAAACGTTCCTCCTGTTCATGTATCTTCTGCAGAACAGCAAGTAACCTTTTCACAACTGTGAACTTAAATTATTGGCACTTACTTAAGGTTATTTTACCTGCAGACAGATTAAGACAAAGAATGTGATATGCTTATGAGCAATTAAATGTATTCGCTAATAACTGCACATTTGATCAGTGGATTTGCTGAAGCCTGGTATATCACACTAACTGCTTATTATTCCCTTTTAAAGAAAAGTGCATTTCCTGATGTACCTTACTCACAGTGTTACAATGGAGTAGTTCCCTGGGTAGAGTCACATACTGTTCTATAAAATAAACTCACAGTTATACTAAATGAGCAGTTCGGATTATTTTCATCCACATTACGTTGTTCCTTCAAAAGCTACTTTTGCCAGACTCCCTTGGAAACCACATTAAGAAAGGAGTGTGTTCTTTGACTTCAGATTCCCAGTGGAGCTATTTTATCTTGACATGTGTCACAGTTTCATGATTCTTACTCCATAACCCTGTAGCTTGTGTATGACCAGAAGACCGATCATAGACAGGGTGTAGATAGTGAATGTTGACACCAACATTTCAGTGTAGTGGTGGTACGAAACGCCTCACTGTACCTCAGAAGAATGCTCCTTTCCTGACTGCGTCTGCATGATGGTACAGTCTTCATTATTCCTTTATCAGTCTTTTGTTATAAAGTTCCCTCTCTGTCTCTTTCTTCTTTCTTTCAATCATTTATCACAAACGCTCAAACATTACCTCACACACGCACACACGCACGCAGACACACACACACACACACACACACACACACACACACACACAGCCATACATTTCTACATGGTGCTCCATTACTGACTAATGCATTTCTCCTAATATAGCCTGTTGTTCTCGGTACTGGAGGCTACAGCAAGCAAAGGTGCAGGCTTGTGTGTGTGCATTATATGTTAGGGTGCACATTTGTATGTCTGCCCATTAGCTGTGTGTCTTCCCATTGTGTGTGTGTGTGTGTGTGTGTGTGTGTGTGTGTGTGTGTGTGTGTGTGTGTGTGTGTGTGTGTGTGTGTGTGTGTGTGTGTGGTGTGTGTGTGTGTGTGTGTGTGTGTGTGTGTGTGTGTGTGTGTGTGTGTGTGTGTGTGTGTGTGTGTGTGTGTGTGTGTGTGGTGTGTGTGTGTGTGTGTGTGTGTGTGTGTGTGTGTGTGTGTGTGTGTGTGTGTGTGTGTGTGTGTGTGGTGAAGCAGCCATTAGTCCTGGCCTTGGACAGCAAAGTCAATACGAATGCTGTTAAAGGTGTCGAAATAACTTCAGGTTGCATTTATGGCTCAGACATTATAATTCATTCAATATTGGTTTGTGTGTATGTGTGTGTTTGTATGCTTCATTTGGCAAAGTATGGTGATGCCAGATAGGATGCATTTATTTGAACCACTTTGTTTGACCTCTTTGTCCAAATGTTTTTGTCTGAATCATTATGTCATGTTGGATAACCTGCCTTAGATCTGGAGGTTTTTTTCTGACATTCTGATTGATTTCAATCAGTTTGCTGCCTTTTTACACTGTATATAATGAGATATTTAATCTTTGAAGATTAATTTAACTGTCACTTCTCTGAGGTGAAGTGGTTTGATTAAATTGCAAGTAATCATGTGATTTCAAGTAGTGGTACTAAGTGTCTCATCTAGCTGCAGGTGGATATTAGCATACCAGATATACAATAATAGTCCATTAGAAATGTACTAAGTGTCGAGACGAAAGTCAATATTAAAATAATAAGAATAAGCGATTATTAACTGAACAAACTTGTCACTGAGTGTTGGAAGTATGTTGGCGGTATCGTTGTATCCCAAAACTCCGTCAATGCATAGTGTATTGTCTGGACTAAAACCTTTTATTCCTAATACAGGGAGTCCAACTTTAGGATAGCAAGTACTGAACCCTATGGCATTGCTTTCTATTATGAAACAAGTTCCTTGCCATAGTGTCCTCCATATGCTCAGGGCTCTTCAGTAGATGGACTCTTAATTAGAGAAGCAGCTGGCTGCCCGCTAGCAAGCAGGCTAACAGCACAGGTGACTTAACTCAGCAGTAGCTGCATCATGTGCGGCCTGATTTGATCCTCCCCCCTCCCCGCCTGTGTATTTGACAGATAGAGTGAGAGGGAGAGAGAGAGAGAGACTGAGTGTGTGTTCCTGTGTGTTTGTGAGTGTGTGGGAGATGCTGCAGTGTTGAGCAGGCCTATATAGGTTAGCTACCCCAGTGCATCGAGGACAGTCAGCTAGCAACAGAAAGTGTGTCTACAAGTGGGGCATCTATTTCTACTGCTTCCACCACTTCACAAGGTCGACCACCTCACTCATCCTCTTTCCCTCTACCTTACTCGCTTCCTTTTCAGGAACGTCCGCCTATTTTTCCTTACTTAGTTATCCTCCTCTTTTTCTTTTGGCTTCTTTTGTTCTCTAATCCCTGAAAGTGCAGAAGTTAGCTTTAAGAAGTTCCTCTCTTCTCCTCACCAAGGTTTCCAGGCCTCCAGGAATCCTTCAGGGATTCTCCGTGCCCTGGTTTTCCCCCCGTCCGACACTCAGTCCCAGGGACAGCTCCTGGCTCCCCGCACAACTTCAGGCCAACCTGCTTCAAAGTGCCTCTGTAATTCTGCTTTAACTGGGCTACCTTGTGTGTTGCAAAGTTCTAGGAAAGTCCAGAAAGTATTTTGATGATTGGAGAGCACTCCTCACTGACAAGTCAACTTGTGCTCTCAAAGTGTTTTTTGCATGATTTCAAGAAATTCAGAATGAATTCAGGTAATTCGCATGAAAGACAGCTTAGATTTGCATACTGTTAGCTCTCACAGCTGCTGCTGGTGAAGGGAAATGTACTGTATCTATCACTCATACCTATTTTCCATTTCTCTTAAAGAAACATATTTTCCTGATTTGCGCATAGTTAAACCAATTTTAGATGCAGTATAATGAAGTCACTGCAGAGCCTCTCAATCTACCAGATGTCAGTCCTGCCACTGTGACCTTCTTTGGTTGTAAATAAAACCAAAGTTGATTTTCATTTTTATATGAAGGCAAATTAAAAACAATAAATTAGTGAGAATGCTGAATAAGCAAATGCATAATAAAACGTTGTGAATGTGATATACAACCTTAGTTAAAAGTTCAATCCAAAGAATCCCTCAGCACATATTCTACAACATATTCCCATTTTTAGTTCACATATTACCCGGAGGAACAATGTTGACACTGTGTAGGTCACATCACAAAACAGTCTTTAAATAATTGCACAACAGAGGGCTTTACATATGCAAACATAATATTCTGGGTCCTTGTGAAGAGTGCTGCTTAGTAAGACCTACTGGCAGAGTAGTGACAGGGTCTAACTCACGTTGAGAAGTATGGATCGCCCTCCATTTTTTAGTTCTGCACTTACAGATCTATTCTTTCTGTCAGTGTGCCAATATAAAGATTGCAGGTAAGGTGAAAGCGAAACTGAAAAAGAGCAAGACAGAGAGGAGAAAAAGAGGGTTAGGGGGAAAAAGGAGATTATCTTTTTATGTCCCACAGAGACTCTTAAGCGCTGGAGGTATGGTGGCAGTTTTTAGAGGGGATTGAATCGATTGAGATTGCTTTCTTTCAGCAAGCTAATTTCATGGGTATTCTTAAAAGGAACATTTTATGGAGGGAATCAAACGCTCTTGATGGTTAGCTCACTCTGGTTCCCTTTCTCTCTCTGTCATTCTCACTCTCTTCTCTGACGCTCTCTATTCTCCCTAGATTTGTGCAACTTTACTTTTTTTCTCTCCCTTTTCTCCTGGCTTCACACCCACCCCTCTCTTCATCCGCTCTTTAGTAGTTTCTGAAAAGAATGAGGGAAGCGGAGCGGTAGTTGAGGATTGGTTATCGTCAGTTTGCGGGCTATTACATTTGAATGGAAAAACATTTAAGTTGACCGTGTAGATTCTTCCCTCTTTGTCTCTCATTCTGCTTTTCTCCTTTAAAGTGGACCTATCATGCTATATTTGAATAATATAGTGTAGGACCATACCTATATAAGGCATATTTATACTTTTTTTTTTTCAAAATACCAAACAGATCATGCATTTTAGCCATGCCTCA